CCCCCCCATACCCACTAAATGCTCATTATGGGTTCCCTTCCATCACCAAGGCCTCAAAGTATCAATTTTTGAGTTGATGACGGAAGGTGCAACAGTTCTAATCAATAATGTTAGAGCACTTTGCTTTGGAGGCTGGGGAGAGAGAGAACACGGTTGCGGCCGAATGGCTAGGGGTTGGGTGTCCTCGATCAAAAGCTCAGTCGATAGACTCATGCTTAAGTGGGCCGATGCTTGGATATGTCGGAGCTTATTGGAGGAGAATTGAAGGAATGGTCTGCTCTTTACAGATTTTTGTCTCACCTCACCGAAGGATGTGCAGACAGACTTTCTGCTGCCACGACTGCAAGAACACCTCAATATGGAGCGAGAAGAACGAGTACGATCTGAGCTTGTCTGCTGCGCCGTTGGACTTCTACCGTCCGCGCGGGTTGAGGACTGTTTACCCCTAGTTCGGCCTATTCTCGCCTTCCTCAACCACAACCTGGACCAGGTGGGTTTCTGCTCCATGTATTGTTACTCTCATTAGCCGTGTTGCAGAAGACAAAGATGGTTGTGAGGTCGTGCGATCTCTTTTCTCCTGCAGCCGAAGCAGTATGTGTTCGAGTACTTCTCCCAGCTGATGTCCTTCATTCCCTCCAGCGAGATTCAACTCACCATCCTGCCGAGTCTAGTGAATTTGTGGCAAGGCAAGAACTGGCGTGTTCGACTCGGTGTGGTGCAATCCCTTCCCTGCCTCTTTGCCACCCTGGTACGTCTGCTCTCGATCTGGTGCCCGCTAACGTTGAACTGAGCCGTCTTTTCTTTCCAATCTTCAAAATTTCTTTTGTGCATCACTTGCTTACTGATCTGCATGTGGGTGGACGTTTTATTCCAACATATAGTGTTATTGAGTCTCTTACAGCACTCCAATCTATCTTCCTTCATAAATTAGGATCTTTCCAGTGCCGAAATTGTCTAGTCACTTTAGCGTCAGGAATATCCCCAATCTTGAATGAATAAAGTCGTTTTCCACTCACTTAAAGTTTGATTATTAGAACTTAATCTCTACTGTATGCATGGCTGAAAGTGCGTTAGTTATTTCATATGCCTATCTAGCCCGAGAATTGTCTGCGGGAGACCATTCTCCCATCCACCCTGGCCTGGCTTCTCGATCCCACATGGGCGGTGCGCGACTGTGCATGTCGGAGCCTTGCCCGCCTTCTAAGTGTTTGTCCCTCCGCCGCAACTGATGCCATCATGGGTACTGGCGGCCTTGGAAGTGGAGATAAAGACGTCAGTATTGGTAGCGCCTCTTCTCCCCCATCGACGACCACTTCCAGCATTGTGGGCCCTGCAGGCTCAGCTGGTGCTTCAACTTCGGTTGACGCTTCCGGAGATGCTGGAAGCAGTGGAGGTGGTGTTGGCGTTGGAGGCGCGATATCGATTGCAACTCTGACAGCCAATGCGGCAGCTAGAGGTCTACGTGCCCTGGCTAACGATTCAAACTACCATTTGCGTCAGATCTTCATTCTCGCTGTGCAGGTATTGGGTTGCGTCCTCTCTGACCACAAATCTCTACATATTATTACATTGTCTCAGACGTTGCTTCTTCCCTCCTTAAAGGAGGGGTTGAGTTAGGATTTGTCTGAATGTTCTTTGGCTTCTCAACGTTCATGAGTGCAGGTTGTCACTAAGACCTTCGGTATTACTGCCTTCCATTCTCCCAACTTGGTGTGAAGGCGCTATGGGGACCAGGAATTCCGGAGGAGCCGTCCTACAGTGCGTTAGGTGATCTCTCTCCAAATGTGGGTCTCATTTCTCCCACCCTGCTATACGATTTTGCACTTCATCTACATCGTCAACAGAGGCAGCCGCAACAGCAGCAGCGGAGGACGCCGGACAATTGTGCACCCCCTCCGGTTGGTTTACCGGCCTCTGGCCTGCAGACCTGCCTTCAACTGCTGCTGCAACTGCTCACTGCTGATCCTGTGCCTAATGTCCGTTTTGCAGCCGCCCGTGCTCTTGTCATCATTTCCGCTAACCTTGATATCAAGTAAGTCACACAAATATCAAGACTATAGCAGCTGTTACTACTCAACGCCCATTTCAATAGCAACCTTGCTCTTCGAAGTCAAGGTACAATGCGTCTTCTCACTCGGCATAACGCAGCATGACGGATGTTCTGTAATTTGCGACCTACGGATTGCAAGCATATTTCAAGAGAAGACTATGAATACCCTTTACTTTCTCGCCAATCAATCAGTCAATTAGGCGCCGTCATTTTTTTCGCCATGACGTGGTAAAAACGATTGCAGAAGGATGATAATGATGTCATTCCTTCAGTAATAGCGTATTTAGGTGTCATCTGAACTACATGGCCTGAAAACAATAACAATGAAGTCCTTTGCTCCATTATGCGTCTCTGACCGGAGCTTAATTGGCTTAGCCGCATCCTCTTTTCATGTTGTCGCGTAACTAGCCATTAATTCGCGCGGTTTCCCATCTTTTCTCATGCAGAATGACCCAGAAGCAGGTGATCCCAGCGCTGAAGAAGGTGTTGGAGGAGGAGAAGGACTTCGACGTCCGGTTTTATGCACAAGACGCTCTCAAGGGTACCTAACGTTGTTAACTTACATTTATTTTCGTTCAAACTTCAACTCCATTCTGTTTCTCCTCAGTCTTCGATGGCTCATGATTCTAATCTTGGTATCAAGATGTTGGAGCGCCTATTTTCGAGCCGCTGTAGCACAGAAGCGCAACCTCCCTCTTTATCTCCGCCTCCCCTGAACTGATGCGTTTTTTTGATTGGTCCACTCCACCTGCTGCACTGTCCATTTTCCTCCTTGTCCTCCCTTCACCGCTATCGTCATCATCGTCATCTTCGTGTCCGCCTCGACCTATTACTTTCTTACTTCTACTGACGTGGATCGCTTCTGAACAACCCTTACTCCTGTCGTCCCGCCCCTTTACTCTCCTCTTCCCGCCCTTTCCACTCTTCTCTATTCAAACAAATTTTACAGAAGGTACAAGTCAGAAAATAACACTTCTACCTTAAGCTGATCGGCGGGTGCTAAGACAATTTCTTCCACTACAAGGCTCCATTTAGAGGAAAAAAATCAACGTCACGCTGATCATGATGAAATTAACCTAGGAGTGCGTGCATGGAGCTACTAGTCGGTGAGTCTGGGTACACGCTCATCTGCTTTCTGTGTGTGGGTGCTGCGTCGATTCCCTCGCCCACACCGACTGGCGAATCCATCGCCAGCTAAACTCAAGGCAATTGAAGAGTGAAGTGTTTGTGTGGTAGTATTATTATCGAGTAAGTGGGTGGGGAAGGAGGAGATAGAGAAGGGGCTTTTGCCTTACTCTCCCATGTCAAGCGAGCAACTTCGGGATGATCCCCTGGGTTAAGGTCTTACAACAGAGATCTAGAGATTGAGAGTGTCGCGCAGTACCTCTTGCCATCCTCTTGCGCCTTTTCAATCTATCGATTGATTGCAGTGGGTGGCAATGTGTTCCAATGTTCTACTTCTTCATAGAACTTTACAGAGGTTGGGTTTTGGCATACCCAAGTCGTAGCATCTGGTTAAATTCGAGTCTTCTCATATTTTGGTCAAAAAGGAGACCTCAAAGGTGTAGATTCATTGGCTGTAGGAATTAAGAAAAAATTTCCAATCACTGAGAGTTGGATAAGTTGCTAAAATGTTCTCATTGTGCCAAGCTGGAAACAAGATGGAAATTTCTCTCCAAAAGCCACTTAGACGAGTGTCATTGCAAGTGAACTGAGTATGGCAAGAGTAAATCGATTTAAGGCTTGCGGAATCGTCTTCCACGCATTTAGGGTCTGTAAGGGTTTTGCCTTCCACAAGGTATTGTAAGATTGATCACCCCATCATACTGAAACGCTGGTAGAAGAGGTCAATCTGTCCAGTTTTTGTCTGTTATGCTTCATCTGTGTTAAAATGTCCTGTTGCTCATCAAGCTGAGGCTGTTAAAGGGGAGTTCGACAATATGGAAGCTAGATCTGAAAAATTGGCTTGTTGCCATCGTTACAGTGTTCTAGGTAGGTGTTGGAACACAGTCTTTTACCACGAAGCTGTCTAAGCTGACCGCACAAACTCAGGGAGTGCTATGATGCGGAGGAGGCTGAGAAGTAGTCAATTCTCATGATTATCTTGCATTTTTTTCGGCACTGGTTATGACAATCCATTTCCAGCACCTCGGGATGCACTCCTTCTTGAACATACTAGTGAAGGAGATGACAAGCAGTTCTATGGCGGTCTTTAGGTACACCTACCGTTTTGTCACTTGTTTCTGAGAATAATCGTGAAGACTGAAGCTGAAAGAAGGGAATCATTCCTGCACGCTGTCGCATCAAAGGAACGAACGCACCGAAGGAACTCACGCTTCATCGTCTTTCACCTTGTTTAATTTTCTAATTGAGCACTCAACTGATGAGCGTCGTTAACGGAAATACAGACAATCGGCATCGCTTTTCAATTGAGCACAGTCCAATTTAATGCTCAATGCCTATTTCAACGGCACTTCTCTGTAGCAGGCTTCTTCAACAGCATCGACCCTCAAACGAGGAGTTTGGCTGAACCACTCTAGCCGTGCGAAGGAAGAGGTGCACTGATCCAAAGTCATCTCATACATGTTCTCAGTCTAGAACTGCGAACAGCAAGGCTGGCAGTTGAGCCACGCATAGAAGTAGTGCCACCACTTACAGCAGCTTTTTAGTGTAAAGGAGAACACTATGCGGTGTGTGAGTACTCATCTGGGCGTTGGTATGCAGCATCTCACTTGCATTAGTAGTGATTCCACAGAGGTTGTATGCATTAACTACCAGACACCACCTAACTACTTCCCTTCGCTTAGGTCGGCTATCCAATTCAGTGGAACTCATTTCACTCCGTTCTTATAAAACTTCATCAGTCATAGATTTGTTCACAAGGTCAAATAGGTACTGGTAGCACTATAAGACGGAAGAGTAGGGCCACCTCGAAGCTCACTCCAAGTTGCTCATAGTGCAAAAGACCATTCTAGGCCTTCGTCTAACAAGGGAATAACTCATAGATACTGACTTCAATAGGATTCTAAGACCGAAACTCGCGGTCTTTCAAAGACATGCTGACTATGTTGAGACACAAATTCTGCTACATTTGCTTCAGAGTCTCTGCCTCCAAGATGCTCTCTACATTCCTTGATAAGGCATTATTTTACGGACTATAATAATCATAATCAATTACAACAAAAACGACTGCAGACATTGAACTTTTCAACACAAACATTGGAATGCTACACCGGAGCGATTGGTGGTGGGTGCTCACGAACAAGTCTCCAATCCCCCTCCTCTAGCAAGGTTGGAAGGCGACCAACTAAACACTCCAATTCCACTCATCCGTGCGTGCGGAGATGAGTGAGAAGCAAGACGGTGAGGGTATTTATTGACGTTTCCTGCACAAGACCTCAGCATGAGGGGACGTTTCAAATGTGCAGCAATAGGAGAATGGGGAGGCAAAAAAAATGAGTAAAATTCACCATCACTGTTCAATATACACCTACACACAGGGGAGGGAAAAAACAAGGGAAACGGAGGGACAATCAAAATGACACACCGTAGAGGATTGATTGTTCAAGGGAGATTGGTTGACAGAGAGTGATTCTCCGATGCCCGTGCTCTCTTCACGATGGCAAAAGCTTGACATGAGTCAACGGAAAGAGGCCACTTCGACTAGGCTCACCTTCAATGTAGCCCAACTAGGCAGAGCAGGAAAAATGATAGCTATGAATAGATCCACCTTCTGATGTTACCGATAGCAATAGATAGGAAAGGGGAAGGAGAAATAGATAGAGGAGGTTATGACTTACCCACCAGTTAACCTCCACGTCTTTTACCACCACGATGACCTCAGACCGTTTGAAAGTTAATTCGTCAGGGTTCTCAGCGTCACAGTCATAAAGTGCAACAGCACGTTGATGCTGCAACGTAGCTGAGGGAGTCCCGTTAATGATGTTCTTTCCTCCGACAGTATTGTCAACAGCAGCACTGGTAAGCGTACTGAGAGAGGTTGCAATTTTTTGAGGAGGTGAAGATGGGAGAAGAGGACGTGCCTCAACATTGGTATCAGGATGCTCCTCCAACACGTCCAGCAACACCTCAATGTGATCCGAGGCAGGAGGGGACGAGGGCGCATGCAGCGCAAGGGTTCGTGAGGACCGCGTGCCGGAGGAGGAAAACCAGGCATTCCGCTGGAAGACAAAGATAAAGAGATGTAAAAAACATTTTTTGGTCCCTTTACAATCTTTACAAGCAATACATTTGATCTAACATAAATGAGAGGGTTTGGGAGAATGACTTATAGGGTGAATTGTTAGTTGAAGATTCCAGGTAGAAATGGGTGGAGGATAGAGAAAGGGGGACGCGATTTACCAGACTTGTCTTGACCCCAAAGTGGTTCGCGTTTATGTCCTACCATGTGTCCTCCTCTTAAAAGAAATGTAGTACAGAGCTGATTGCACAGTACGGAAAATAGTCTACCTCGGTAAGAGGAGGCTGAGGCGCGGGTCCCTTCTTACGTGGTAGAGTAGCCAGAGCAGCGGCAGAAGTGTTCGCCTCGCATTTGGATGAACAGTGATGTGAACGACGGCAGCTGCTATTAATATTATCCACGCGCCACTGGTCTGTGAAGAAGAAGTATGAAACGCAAAGGGATAGAAGATGAGGAAGAAGGGAATGGGTGAAACAGACCCACGCAGCATGTAGGTAGCGCGTTTCCTCACCTCTTGGTGCAAATGCAAGTGGTGATGATCGCGAGAAAGATGAATCAGAGAACTAAAAAAGGGAAAGAGGCTACAACAAAACGTCTATCAGTTATCCAATTGTTCAGCCAAGATTACCATCCCCTCACTTTGAGAGCTCCGGCTAGAGTTTCACGAAACACTCTACTTAGACCATCCTCCTCTGCGTCATCTGTTTCCTCTCCATCTCCTCGAAAAGAATCACCTTTTTGCAAGGAATTATTGACGGCCGTGGAGTTAAAAGAGAGAGGACGAGACACAAAAGCGCCCCACCTAACGCTTTCAAGATCATCTAGTGCCTCTAAAAGCCGCCTCCGCGCTGCCACTTCCTTCGTCGTCATCCCTCCCACCACAGAAGTGGATGTCAGAAAGGCAGGAGGTGCACCATCAACGCCAGACGACGTGGCAACAGTGGCAGCAGCCGAGACGTCCACTGCCAGCTGGAGGAGATACTCACACCGACGCAATGCCTCTACTTCGGCGTCAGTGTCGAAGGAAGGTGGACTTTCTAGCAGACGCGCCTCAATAACGTCCAACGGAGTTTGCTTTAACTCGTTGACTGCAGTGAGCATCTGGAAGAATGGGATACAAACAATGTTGCAATGGGTAATGATTGCATCCGACCACTCAAACAAGCAGTTATTAACTTACCGTGATCGGAAGAGCACCTTGGCCGACGCCACCACTGCCACTAACAGCCACACCGAGGAGCACCCGGAGGACGTCAGGGAGCGCAAACTTTGCAGCATAGTGAAGAGCTGTCTCACCTGCTGAGTTAGCACGTTGAAGGATGACTCTGTTGGAGAAAAAAAGATTTAAACATCCCCTTATTTCCCGGAAATATCTAGAAAAGATGCGCATGCATACAGAGAAGAAACATAAATGATCAAGAATTCTTACGCAGATGATAGCGCATTCTGCAGGATGAACTGCACAAAAGCAAGAGAGATGTTGGAAGAAGAGGCGTCGCAGGTTTCTCTAATCGTCGCTGCCGCTGACGCGATTGCCACATGAAGCGGTGTGTCGCCCTCTACCAACTCCTTCCCCACGTCTCCTTCAATGTCGACTTCACGATCGACATAGAGAGGAGCCGTCAAATCAATACCCTCTGCGTGGACCTTCGAGGACGACAAGGAAGCGGTGATTGAGTTTCCTTTTGTTGTGCAGTTAAAAAAAATTATGAATGATGAAAACGCCTTTCACCTGGAGCAAAGCGTGGAAATCAGCATTGCGAATTGCGCGAAGCAATTGATGACGCAAAAACTGGTCATCTTGGAGATTCACATTACTGTCTTCGTGGCCTTTTTCCCGCGCATGACGTCGGCTAAACACGCCTCTGTCCGAAATGAATTTGTGCTCAAGATACTTTGAACGGATGTAGGCACGTCGGCTGGAAGAAACAAGAGGAATGTGAGCTTAGCAAAACTGTATAGTTTTCCAATGCTTAAAGCTAATGAAAATTCATCAAAAAGACTACTTAGGAGATGAAAAGGAGGAAGATTAACCTGACACTGTCTGCATCGGGAGTGGGCTTGATGCCGTCAACCAGAGCAGATTCGTAGACTTCATTGAAAAGTCGATTGCCAATGAAACGAGGCAGCTAAGAAGCAATTACAAAGCTTGGAGCTCACAAACAAACAACGCATAGATGATAACTCTATGAGATATTAGTTTAAATAGCTTAAAGGCACTGTGCCCCTCATTACTTCTTGTAAATGGAAAGGGGAGCAGGTATAGAAGCGGAAGATGAGAAGGATAAGTATCGGACCAGAAGAGGTGGTTGAAACCTACCAGCAGCTGAGCAGCGCAAAGATCATCCATGAGAAGCGATTGTGTACGGGAGCACTGCACACCTAACTCTCGGTGGGTGCCACAGCACTCAAGGCAAATTAACACGCCCAGGTTCACACTCACCCACTCTGGATCTGCCAGAAAAGCTAATGTTAGTAACACCACTACTGATTTTAACACAAGAGGTGGTAGTAAATAACTTTCCCTTTACACTAATTCAAAATTAATCCATTTGAACGGGCAAAGATTATCAAAATGGAAAGAAGTGTTACTGTCCATCGAATTAACCACCAAACTGCAAGGATATGGTCTTCTTCATGTCCACCATACTTTTAATAACTAACTAATTCTGGCTACCTACATTAAGACTGGTTTCAAAGTTCTACGCTCCGCATCTACCTTGGGTGTCAGAACACAAGTAGAGAGGACTCCTTATAAAAAGACAAGAAATAAATGGATTCCATTAAGAGCTCACCGGGTCGATTGCAGTCGGCACAAACACGATTGCCAGGAACTTTGGTCCGCATGACGTGCTGAATGCTTTGGTGTAATTGAGCGCCGGATAGACCATTAAAAAAGGCTGTTGTCGCCTCGTCCGAGCCAACAGTGGATGAGTGCGAGGATCTTGAACCCACCCCGCGATTGAAGCGCGATCTATGAAAGATGAGAGAAAAGTCGATAAAGTTCCGCACTGACCTACACCAATAACCAAGCAGGAAAGCATAAAACCTTGACTAAAAGATCGTAGCACTACTACCTCACAGAAGCTAAAAAAGAATAACCTATCCTACTAACTCGAGTAGATCGGTATCACTCCCGTTAAGGCTGCTCTCATGGCTGTGATGGTGGTGAATGGAATTCGACATGTCAGTATCACAGAGGGTGGAGTGGGGCATCTCCCTCCTTGATTTCCAATCAGGATAGTGCATGGCCTCGTTGAATGCCGCTTGCATGGCATTGGCCAGTACATTTGTCCACCTACCAAAAGACGTAAAGTTTTTGAATGAGTTCTACTAGCATTTTTCAGTAGACAAACTGATGTTTATGAATAATTATAATTGACAGAAAAGGATGCTGAGAGGGGGTTGCTTAACCACATCCAACCAACTTACACTGAAAAAGAAGAAGAAATGCAATTGAGTGAAAAAGTAAAACTCACTCCTCAAAGTCTTTGTCATCTTCAGCCTGAAATTGGTAGGTTCGGTTGTCTAGATGAGAGGAAGAGGGAAAGCACTATTCGCCGTTGAGCTGTAGAAAAGCCTAGACTTTAGACCATTTGGTAAACCTTGGGAATCAGAAATCCATCAAAAAGTAGAAACCTTGACCTTTCGCATTAATAGATAACGAAATCGTACCCATTAAAAGTGCTATTTACACGTCACAGACATACTGGAGACAAGGAAGAAGGAGCGTTTGTTACTGTTAGGAGCCGCAATGTCCTTAGTGGATAAAACAGCAGAATCTGACGCCTCCATAATTGCCGTTGTCACCTCCGTAGAGGCCGCAGTTGCAAGCGTTACGGCAGAGGACTGATCAACGTTTGGAGTAGTAGGCAGTTTCAGTTGGCAAGTCAACAAAGACAACCGCACCGGGGGCTTAGTTTCGTCCGCGTGGTAAAGGCAGAACTCACCATTCTCACCAACGCATACGCGACGCCGCTGCCACAACCGCTTTATCACCTACAAAGACGGCATTGTAACTCCATTTGTTCATCCTAAATGCACTTCTCCCAGATTGCTCCGTGCTTCACAACCCACCTTGCTGTCCGACTTCTTCAACAAAAAACCGCTCTTCTGCTTCCCGTAGGCAAGGTTCAGTGGCAGTGCTTGTGTTCCCAGATAACCACTATTCACCGGTTGAACTAACTAAAAGTTAAACTACCTTGCTTAGAAGGACATATATGCAGTCTAGTAATTGCGTAAAAAGTGTCTAAATGATGAAGCAGATAACCCCAAACACGTAGCACTAGTTCATACAGCACCCCAAGTGTAAGATTGAGGCTATAACAACACACCTCCTTCTCGAGAAGTTTTCTCACAGCCTCTCGCGTGTCCACAAGTTGACGTTTCTGTGTATCGTGCTGCTTCTGCAAGCCGCTGATACTGCCGGCCAAATCCGGTAGGGTCTTGCCGAAGTGTTCCATCACTCCCAAACTCTCTCTTAGGTAGCTGAAAAAAAAGAGTAACCAGGACAATGCATTGCTTATAACAATTTACAAGCAGCTTTCGGTACTTAAAGGGAATCAATATAAGCTCGGGAAACAGATGAAGTTGAAATCATAAAAGGGAGACAAGAATTGGTTTTAGTTTTCTACATACAGGAAGAGCAGAGAGATTCAAGACTCACTGTAAATGCGCATGGTAAAAGTCAATTAAATGTTGAAGAAAATCCGAGCCCTTTTTTGACTTCACTTCGTTCACCTTGATGAAGTACTGACCAGGGGAGGAAAAAAACAAAAGGGAATTAAGGATAGTCCATTCACCTCATCTTGCAAGTACAGACAAGCACAAAGACATTGACGACTACGCAACAGGCTAACATGACAAATAGGAACGTCGAAAAAGCCGGATGGCGAGACAGCAGAATGACGGGTCTTAGCCAAATGCAATACCAATTTCCCTAGCACAATCCTCAACACAATCATCATTCACAAATGACGGTTCAACTCTACGTTGTGCTCCCAGCAATGGCCATTCGAACCAAATTCAAACTGAACTACAAAGAGATCCTCATGTTTGCTTTAAAAGAGGTAAAACAAAATCTCCAATGGAAATTCAAGTTTAGGACAATAAATACGAGAACTTTAACTGTCATTATAAGAATGGTGGATAGAATTAGTCGAAGTAAAAAAGCAACAAGACGCTAAGCGACCCACCTCACAAACCTCCAGCTGAAGACGTCGACGCTCCTTCTCCAGATTTTCTGCCATTTCTACCGTGAAAGACTCCGGTGTATATAAACCGGTCTCTTTCATCACTTGGAGTTTTTCCTTCTTCAGCTTGTCACTAAAAGGGCAGGAATCTTTATTTACCCTTCAATGCTTCTGCATATTGACAATACACACTTCTATTCCATCCCGCGTACCTCAGGTGTTGCACGCTTAAGAGACTAAACGATGCCTCCGTGAAGAGAACACTCATTTAGTGAAGAAATCGGCACTTTTACTGCGACTCCCATTGATATACTCTTCTGTTCAAACTGGACAATTGTTGGGCCTCACGCAACAACACGTGCTTCACTTATGCTTGGCTGTTAGTGGCCTTAAGAGCAGTCACTGATAGTCCTACAAAACTGCTTTCAGATGAGAGTGAGATGGCTCCCGCAACGCAATATTGGCAATATCAGGCGGCCCGACTTTACATAACCAACTATTTCCACTTTCACCAGCAAGAACATCACGCCCATACACCACAGGTGTAGACGGCTGCACCAGCTAGAACTCACGAGACAAAAATACTTAAAACAATCGAACTCAGCGTGACAATTTAGCTTTGAGAGCGAACGTGATTTAGATAAAGAGAATCCCGAATAACAGCACTTGAAATCAGTGCCACTAGGTAAACAGAGATCGTTGGTGTTCAAGTAAAGTTAATTTATAAATCATGAAACGAAACAGGGTTTACGAGTGGCACACAAACGATGAACTACCTCCGGTCTGATGCTAACCATTCAACCTTCTCGCCTCTCCTCTTTGGAGATTACATTCAATACATAAATATGGTCCCAAGACTCGCAGAATCGATCAGTTTGGCAAGACATCACCTCAAAACTCGCTGATTTGGCATCAATATCCAAAAATTCACTTGTTGTTAATGGAACTAGCAGGGACAAACTCTAACAAAAAATCCCCATTTTCGCATTTACGTTACCACAAAAAAATACACAAAAAGGTGTAATGCGACAATTAAATAAGTTGTTTTCAACATTTTACGAGGAACTGACCATGTCTGTCCTTGACCACCAAGAAATGAATGACAAAATCCATGACAGTAACATTCATTGTCGTAATTTAATCTCAGAGTGACTGCAAGCAGTTAAGACTGATGGATCTCATCGGATTCCAAACTCCTGACTTTACCTACACAAGAAAACCACACAAATAGCTGTTTTTGTCCACTCCTGGACCCCTTAAAAAAGTTGACTCATTCTCCTGATCATTTTGGCTTCAAGTACACAGTTCCCTTGCGTTCAGTGGGAACACGTGTCATGACGCATCCTCATTTGCATTTCCTTAAGGAAGGAGAACCAAAGCTGCGAAATAACTCGTCCTGATGACATACGCAAAGTTGCTCCGGTCTGACATTCGGTTGTTGGCCGAATGAACACTGAGGCACTGGCAGGCATGCGAACTATGTATCCATGCACGAGTGTGACGTCCAGCTGTCAATGCCGAAATAGAACGAAGAGAAATGTATTATATCTCTTACCTTCTTCATAATGAACAATTTTCAGGGGGTTCGGTAAGAGCAAAAATCTGTTACATCGATGTCTGCAATGGGAACATGTATGAGTCCTGATAACCAATGCAAAGACGCTGAAATGCTACGAAGATTACCAGGATAGATAATGATAACATACATAGTGGTGGTGAAGTCTCAATCCATGAGCAAGCAGAAAAAGAACACAATCAAACGCCCACAACGTGAAATAGACAGGAGTTCGTTTGTCAAGTGATGAAACTCGGCACTATCAGACGTAAACAGGACCTACTTTTGATAAAACTGGCGCGTTGGAAAGAAGTCATAAAATGCTGATCTTACGTGATGCTGGGAACAAGATCAGGGTGTAAATCAGCCAGATTAAAAGAAAAGTTTCCTGAAAAGTAGCAAAAGTGGACAAGAAGCTCGAACCTATTACTTAACTGATTGCGCCAAATGGGACTAATATTCCCAACCAGGAAAGCAAATCTTGCCGAATGACAATATAAAAACAGACAAGATTAGTTTTGCTTGAAAAGAGTGATTCGTACTAATGGAGAAAAAATTTAGACATCTCATTGCGTCTTAACAAGTCAAGCTACAAAATTCAACGTTACTACATTATATAAAGGCGGTAGTTTACCCTTAAAAACAGAAGAGCTACAAGTCATCATTAGTCTAAGGGAAAATATCGGAGCGAAAGAGCGATTAACGATGAGTGGTTAATCGGAACGAAACGGCCGGGAGTGAAAACGCTCTTGACTGCAACGACAAGCGGCAATGAGGAAATTAATGGTGTGAGTAACCATGTTTCCAAAAAGAAATATTGATGCTTCAAGAGAGAATGAAAAACTGATGAAAATCATAACCATTAATTGCATTTAGCCTAGTGAACACCCTATATGGTTATTGCTTTTCCTGTTCCTCCTATTTCCCCTCTCTCTAAGTATGTCAAATCAATGTCTGTGGTTGACCTCCTGGGTCAATCAGTAGCATTTATTGCTGCCATGGGTGACTCACTTACCACTGTCTCTTCGCGATCAAGACTCTTCAGCCTCCCTTCTATCCCTCAATGATAAGTCGTTTTCATTTTACGTCAACTCCTGACGTGAATCAAAACACGCTTGTTATAGACAAAATCTTATTCATTCCATAAAATCCAGATCCCTTATGAAACCATCCTATTCATCATGGTTGATGCATTCCATTTGATCATCATTATCGGTTTTCGTCCTAGTCCTAACTCCTAGACCATTGTACCAGATTTCCCCATCGTTTACCCAACACAGCGGAAAGTGTTAGGTCACGATAATTAAAATCCTGATATGACACAACTTAATGACTTATAAATGTAGTTGCTGTTACAGCGTACGCCGATCAATTCAACTCACTTTCCCTTACAAGTAGGCGTGAAAAGTTGGCCAGGGGTTTCTTAAAGCTCCCTGTATCACGATTAGAATTCTTGTATGGTCATCCCAGCGACAAACCTTTCGTTTTACGAACAAGTGTAGATTCATAAGCTCGAGGTAAAGTCCACCTCCACTCTATTTATGAACAGTGATAGTGAAAACCAGGTTCATCAAAGCTCTCAGAAGGTACACGAAAGGATTAGCGCAAATGTCTAATCAAATCGTTTGGAAAGGCAAAAACAGCCAAAAAGTAGCCTAAGATTGAGCAGAGAAATCGATTTCCACTACAAACACATACGACGCAAACACCACAGCCCAAAGTAAATGTGATAAAATTCGAAGTAACTCACTATTTGTACTCATACTCCTTCAGAGCCTTGTCGAATGGCTTCCTGAGATCACTTTTTAAATCCCCCTGAAGAAACGTCTCCATTGGAAAGACCAAAATACTATTTAAATTTTGCATCTAAAATCCAAGCATCAAGCAGTTACGGTACCACGGATTTACTTCGAGCGAAAAATAATATTAGCCAAAGTAAACAGAATTAAACCTACCAAATGCCTAAACATGTTTCCCAAGTCGCGGTGAATAACTGAAAATTTCCAAAATCCAGGTGTCAAATCACTCCCATTACTATTGTCCGATTGAGCAAATTGACCAAGATTCTCGAGATGGTCACAAAGTGCTAGAAGTGAATCTACGTAGGCGATCCCTGCTCCAACAACACCCTTGACATACTTACGCGACTTCGCAATAAGTGTTCGATCGGCATCTAGCCCCTATAAAGCAATAAAGCCAAAAATAAATTCACAGACCTCATCCAGAGAATACACAGTCTGCCGAATCAACGAGATCTTGGAGCTGAATTCAGACTGTGATGGAAGCTGAATATCTTTAATTGTATCATTGATGAAGTCCTCCACACTAACAAACTCCGTCATTTCGAGTTGAAACGACGGATAAAACGGACACCGATGCGTACTATCGACTATTTTTAAAAGTGTGAATAGTCAAGTAGCTTGTAGAAACACAAATTCCATTAGCGAGACCTTTTTTAGGGTAACTATCGTGCTGCGCTTTGAAAAATTTTATTTTTTTAATTTTTCCAGTTTAAAAAATTACAATGATAGCAGCTTAGTATAATTCTTAGCTGACTTCATAGATAAAGCATTCCTTCCTACAGCAGTAGCGATAATCCAGATTTGCAGCTGTGGCCGTAGCTATAGCGTTCCATGACCTTCTGGCTGATATAAAAAGTCAGTAAGTGCGTATGCACACATGTATTCTGAAAGCAACAGGACAAATCGGCCTGGGCATCGCTCGAAGACCAGCCCACTTGTACCAGGGGAAGACATATCCTAAATTGGCCGCCAAACGTCGTGTGATCACATAAACAAAGCTTAACAGTAGCGTCCCGAGATTTCCTAAAGGTAGAGGAAGCAGTAGGTTGGGCTGGATACATATTTTCCGGGGAGAACTATGTAATTGGGTCTTAGCGTAGTCTGAAGACCAGCTCACGCGTACAAAATGCAGACAAATCTTAAAGTAACCGCCTATAATACATACCAGTGTTTAAGTTGACCTTTACAGAAGAGAGGCGGGAACCAAAAATTGGAACACGAATCTCGTGCGTGAGGGCCGTGATGAATCCCTCTCCGTGTGATATCTGCTATTCGGCTCATCAGTACTCCTATCCCCGTTCTTCCTATAATCAATGCCTAATAAATCTACTGCAGCTAACCCTGTCTTGAAGTTCGTGATTCAAGAGCATGAGGCTAGGCGGGTATTCCCTACACTACCAAACGTCAGGTCGTCACTGGTTAAAAGAAGACATTGAGTTGGGCTTGATATACAATAATGGTTCAGACCTTGGATTACCCTAAGACGACACCAAAGCTACCATCACGCACACAGGTAATCACGCAAACAAAGTACTATGTGCTACTTGCGTATGTGACCACCTGATGCCTGGCGGTTATTTTGAGATTCTTTTTGTCCTTGGGCTGGTCTTCAGTCCATGCTAAGGTCAAGTTCCTTCTTATTCTCATAGAATCGATGTGTTCAGCCAAACTTAATGCCTTTCTCTGCATAAGGGGAAGCTTTGGGGCGCAGGGCTTGGGTTTTAGCTTGGCCCGGAGGGCAGCCAAGAACACAAGAACAAGACGAATACCATGGTAATTGCCTATTTCTCCTTTTGAGCTATTTCCTTAAAGAAACTTGTAATAATATTTCGGTTAAAGCATCTATATTGACAGCTTCGGCTGCTGATGCATACTATTACTGATGTTTGCCTTCAGCAGCCAAAAGTAGGTTTTCTCATAATTTGTTCAGCTGAAATGATATCAAATTGGTCCCCTGATTTTCTACAGTATCTGTGTCATTTCTATCAGTATTATCTTCCTGTGCAAATTGCTGTACAAATCTGATGAATGAAACCAAATTCTGCTTGCATTAGACGCTACAGAACGTCCTACATGTTTCATCCCACTACACCACCGTGTCCAAACATCAGCAACATTCTTTACTTGGCCTTTAGCAGCATGACTTTCACGCGCAACTTTCCGACTGTTACTCATTCAAATGCTGAGACAGTCGATTGCGCAATCATTTTCACACCCTCTACCCCCGATCGTGACGACAATGCCCAATCCTCCTTAATTACCTAGACTTACCTTGATTTTCGCGGTTCTCGAATTCTAATTTCCCTCGACCGATTTTGCCCAAGTGGCAAAATGTAATAACATTTATCGAGATGTTGCTGTTTTAGTGGCGGCAGTGAAGCTTGCCAAAAGACAGATCAGACGAGCATCTACGTAGGAGAATGAGATGGGGAACGTTAGGGTTAAGGAGGAGACAAGGTCGACAAGACTGCCGGATACCAAAAGCACCAGTGTCCAAAAGCTACTCGGTTTTGTGGATTCAGAAGTTGCTCCACGTTGTCGTGGGATAGGAGTGTAAAAGGTACCGTCATCAGAGGCAATGCGAATTCGAGGCTGTGGCACAGCCAATGGCGGAGGAGGATGTGGCGCAGGCTGTGAGAAGAAAAACCGAAATTTCCTTTAATCAATTATTCATTCTTTGTTTCTTTTTAAAATCACTCATTACTACGAGTGTAGAAATGCTGGGATGGTTAAAATTACCACAGTCAAAGGTCGTGAACAGAACATTGCCTCAGTTGCCATGTTATCCTGATGTGTACTCAGGCGGTGGTATATACCCACCACTTTCACTGCCTTTCCCATTTTGCCATTCCTCACCGTCTCCCCCTCCTTGATTACTGCGTTGTGTCCCCGTCCCTCCCCCTACCATTTCGCACCTCTTTAAGTCTGTCCTTCCATGCCACCGCCCTCCTCCTACATTGGTACCCGTAGGAAATTCCGCTAATTGCATAGCCTGGAACAGTTCCTTTCGAACTTTCTTCCGTCCTCACCACGAAATCGAGTAACTGTTGAAATCCAGTAGACTCCGTATCAGGCCTCTTTGAACGCTCCCTCTACCTCAATAACCTCTATCGAAATTTGCTTTAGTTACTTCTCACTGATTTTACCTTCTTCACCTCACCAATAAGGTGGCGCGTTACCTGGGCACTTGACCTTGTGGGAGGCACGATAGGTGATGGAGTTTGCATAAGTACGATGAGTCCCACACCCCTCCTCTTCCCCCACAATCTCGTCAGACTATCTCCAAACCCCTCCATGCCAGCTCATCTTCTAACGGTAATATCTGACGCTAACACTAACACTTACAGCCAACCGACCCTTGGCGCAGCTCAGTAGCATACAAACTACCTCTCTTCAACATCGCTGGCGTCTCTATGCCAACAAGCTAACCACTACGAAAGAAATTGGGAAGGCATGCAGTTTCAAATGCAGTACAAAAGAACTGACAACGAAATCATACCATGGAAGGGTGGGCTGAGGATCGAGGCAGATGGTAGCGTAACTGCTAGGGGTATTCGATGGAGTGAATTCTCTTATTCGTCGTCCGAGACCACGAGTCACATGCAATCGTCTCATTGCAGCCTCCTTCGAGGCTTACATTCAGAGCTGATAATTCAAATCTCATTGAGCGCATCAGCTCCACGGAATGATAAAAACGCCCCTACTAAACACACAATGCATAGTGTAGCACAAAACACGCTTGCCTGGTGCTTTTATCATGGTAACACGTACATCTGTAGGCAAAACCAGCACAAATATTCGTGATTAAACAAAATGATGACGGAATACTCACGACACCTCAAGTTCCTCTCACAAAGTTTAATTCCAGCTGCAGGAAGTCTTTATAAAGGCTAGTAACAAATCTCCATAATCTACTCCGGCTAAAAAGTAAACAATGTCTAGCAAGTTGTCATTTGCCCCACAATACTGTACAACAAGTAAGAAACGCGAGTATCGCAATTGAAAACCTTAGGTACTGAGTTTACCTTACCCAAAGGCGAATAGCCAGACAGAGGGACTAGCAAAGGTAACTAGCGATAATAGCTAACAAAAAATTATTAGCAGTTAAGATTTCACCAAGAAAAACCAACTTTTACGTGTGCAATTAACCGTCGCCGAAACGCGCACCAGTCGCTAACTCTGGCCATAAAGAAATAAACAAGTCTTGGATTGTGTGCATTATAACAGAAGCAAAAAAACAGGACAATTAGGTGTTCTGTATTTAACTTTGCTAGCTCAATGGCTATTGTATGCGCAAGATAAACCAAAAGGTGGGTGTAAAGTGATTCAATGAAACTTGTTACTAAGATCTGTTAACATGGTTTGATCTTAATATTAGAACATGGGAAAAGCTTTTGTATGACAGACAGTAATGCGACTTGGGACTTCTTTTGACAGCGGAAGACACAAGACTTGGTTGAATACTTGCACTTAAACCGAAAGGCACACGTGAAACTACCCTTACAGCCTAATGAACAAACAAATTTGGGCAATCAATAGGAATATTAAACAATAATAAGCGATGAGGCCAGTTTTTGTTTTACAACATGATTATAATGTCTGCGTATCTCAACTGTCTCATTTTAGTGCCACCTTCGGTTCAAAACACTTCTTACTGTGTTCTTATGGAGAGGGCGTGCTTTATTCGGTATGCTAAAAGTTTACAAGCTTAGCTAGGAATGTGCCTCCTTTGCTTACTTCTTATGCACCGCGTGCGGATCCATTTCCCGCCATTCATCTAACAAGGACAATTTAAGCACATTATGTGTATCGCACAGTCCACCTTCTCTATTGAGGACCATCGTTTGTGCTAGCTTTTAAGATTCCTTCCAAGTCGCCAGGGTGCTTCCACTCCTCTGCTGGCACACAAATTCCGTCCATGTAGCCAACTGAGTGACTGTCCTCAGAGGAGTGCATTTTGTGATCGACTGTCATTGATAAGGTACAAAATCCGCGTTTTGGACAAGGTAGTTCGTGATCGACTAAGCCTTAGTTGTGTGACCTTAATAAATGTCTAACCGGGTTGTATACCTTGACTAGGTCTACTCGTGAACATTGGTTCTAGCCTACCTGATGTAGAACCTTTCTAGCGATTCGTGCCCTCTGTAGCTGTTTCTCCGTCATATTAGATACTTTCCTTAAACCTTCCTTTATTCTTAATACATATCTGGAGGCAGTACTTGAGAACATGTCCATGATAAGAAGGGTGATTTCATTTTAACCCTCATTTTACGACCTGTGAGCATCTTAAAAGGCGGGAGTCTCGTCAAGATATGATCTGCCACTTGGTACACGAAGGGAAAGCGCTTTAGGCATGAGTCTTAGCCCTTGAGTGAGAGCCTTCAAGATTTCTACAAATGTGTCATTTATTCTCTCCACTTGTCCATTCACTTGGGGTAGTTCCAATGCTGCGTGTATTTTAGGAATTCCAAAGGTTGTGCGTGGTCCTGCAAACCGTCGGCTCTTAATATTAAGGCATTGATGGCTATGAAACAATTCAGATAGACGTGTTGGAAAAGCAAACGATTAAAAAACGTCGTTGCGACTGTCTCAGCGTTTCATCCATCTGGACGTTCGGTTTCGGCAATCTTGGTGAAGTAGTAGTAGTAGCAGTAGTACTCCATAGTTTTGAGTGAACCAATCACGTGGATTCCTGTTCTCTCTTCTGGAAACCCCGTACGAAATGTCTGCAGAGGTGCTTTTGCGATGCGGTGGAGAACCCTTGAAGCTGATACACTTGGCGTAAGTATACCGAAAATAGGAGACGTCAAAGGTCAGCAGAGGTCCCACAATTTCTCCTTCGCAGTCTTGACCATTTCTTCACTCACGTGACCGGGCTACCTGTAGTCTTCCTGTAGAGCTGTCTGTGTTAGCGCGCCGGGAAGCACGAAGCATTTGGGACTCGCTGCATTGTACCTTTACCAGAGGATGCTGTCCTCTAGGAATAG